GACATCGTCCTTTGGAGCTGGGTCCGTCCCGGCTGTACTGGGCCCCTGCCTCTGATCCTCATAGTTCTGGTACCTTGAGAATGGGCTTCGCACGCCTGCAGGTGTCATCTGCTTCTCTGGGGCACACAGACCAGCATCCTCACCCCGGCCTGGTCTTGGTGATCTCCTTTCCTTGTGACCCCCACTGCTGCCAAGCGGGTCCTCTGTGGACACAGTCCTCAGGAGTGGCAGCATAATGGGCTTAATCACTGGCGTGGCTCTGAGGGTGTTGTCCTTGATTGCAAACAGCAGGTGCTTACTTGAAGCAGCAGACGTTGATGGGGTAGGGACTTTGGCAGGTGGCAGGGTGGTGTCCTTACTTCCCCTCTTCCAACTGCCTCTGAAGTCGGCTTCCTCCCCTGATACCTTCCCGGGGCTGCCTCCAGACAAACTTTCCCTTTCTCTTTGCATCATATCCCTGCCCTGGCTGAGTTCCTCTGTGCATGCAGTTCCATCCTCCAACGCACCCTCCTGTAGCTCCTCTTCCTCCTTCCCACTGCCGCCTGAACCTACCTCATCCATCCCATCTTCCTGCTGACTCTCGACAAACCACACTTTCTGCTGATCCTCAAAGGATGCGAAGGACTGATCAGAGGAGCTGGTGCTGAACTTGGCCTTAGTTTTCAGGCCTGGCATGAAATCAGACTGGGTGTCGCTGTAGAAGACATCTTCCTCCTCGGGAGAGAGGGGCCCCGGGGAGAATTTCTGGCTGAAGTTGGGATTCTGAAGTCTTGCTTCCTCTCTCTGGGATTCTGTCTCTTGAGAGATAGACCTCAAGCATCCGTTCTCTTGTTGGCTGGGGGTCTTCCAATTCTCTGCTGCAGTCCTGAACATGGGTTGCTCACTACAGCCAAGCTGCAGTGACAGGCGCTTCCTGGGGCTTTGCTCCCTGCTGTCCAAACCCCAGCCGGAAGTGGTGGCTCCCACATCCGGTTCTCCATCGGAGTCATCCTTCTCAGAGCTGTTTCTGTCGGCAGTCTCACCGTTGACACAGAGGGGGTGCTGGGCCGGAGCTGGAGAAGAACTGGCAGTTAGGTGGTGGTCTGCTGAGGCAGCACAGGGCTCGGCCGGAGGGTCCTTCTGGGGACCAGTGTGTGGCACGGAGGGGGTGTCAGCTGCTCTGCCCCTCTCCTGCTCACCCAGACTGTCTTCAAGGCCATTAGGCAGGAGGACTCCATTGCTCATGGGCTCTTGCTGGCCCCTGGGCCTCTCCTCGAGGCCTTTTGAGAGAGGCGAGGGGCTGTATGTGCTCTTCACACACTTGCGCACGTCCTTGAGGATGAACAGCAGGCTCGGGGCTCTGGGCTTGTAGTTGTCCTGGGACTGATTCTCTTCGGGCTCCTTCTCTTCGTATCCATTTAGCTGTCCTGGTGGCGAGGGCAGGGGCTCCACCAGTCGGTTCTCGGCGGGCTCCAAGACATGCTTGGTGGGGATGATGGGGGTCAGAAGCTTACTGATATTAAAGGGGTGGTGGTAGTGATCCTGGGGCTCCCCGGGTATGTCCAGTGTGCCATTTTCTGGGAAGCACCCCTGGGGATTGTGCTTTGTATACAAGGCTGAGTCTCGTCTGTTATTGGTTTGCTGTTGCCTCTGATCGTCAGTGTCCTGTTGGCTGTCTCTCCCCCGAGGCCGGCCTCTGCCTGGCTTTGGTTTCCTCCAGGGAGCCTGAGTTGGCTTCCGTGGAGGGTCAGGCTGAGTGTCGGGAGCGTTCCCTTCTGGAGCAAATATCTGAGTTCCAGGATCCCTGGCGCCCCAGGGCCCAGATGTGGCAAGTGTGTCTCCTGTCAGCCTCTTCTCCTCCTGACCACAGCTGGCCCGCACTTGGCAGGGAGATACTCTCAGCTCAGGGCCATTGTGCTCACTTAGCAAGGATGTGTCCTCTGAGCATTGAGGGCCTTTGCTGTCAGATACAGTGTCAGTCACATCCTTTCTCTCCAGCAGCCGGGGCTGTCGTGCATTCCATGACTCGAAGGCACTGTTTTCACTGTGCAGAAAGGTCCCTTTGGGAACCCGGGTAGCTTCTCCTGGGACTGGTTGGTGGGGCGGAGGAGGGAAATTGCACTCGAATGAGCTGGTGGCATCCTCCGGAGCAGGGAGAAAGCTGCTGGAGCTGTGAGCGGCTGCTTCCTGGTGACTAGGGGTCTCCTGCTCTCCCAGATTCCTGCCGGGCTGAAGGCTATTGTGATGAGGGCCGGAGACTTCGGCAGGAACCCTCCGGACCGTCAGAAAGGCAGAATCAAAGCAGAAGTTGACACTGCTTTCTGGAAGTGGGGCGAATTTCGGGGGATGTTTGAAAGCTGGAGGCTTGCAGGTAGAAGGTCTACCTTCAGAGTGCTGGCTCTCGGCGCTGTCAAAAGATTTAATTAATGAGGAGACTTTGGAAATCGGCCTGTTGCTGTTCCTCAGGCCGGAAACGGGCACCTCGAGTCTCCTCTGGCCTGGCGTCAGAGGGGGGCTGCTCTTGGGATACCTTTCCTCCCCTTGCACGTACTTGGGCTGCTGTTGGAGTGTGGCCGCCCAGCCCGTGTGCTCCGTGCCCTGCGCGGGTAACTGGCTCCAGAGGCCACTTTTCCTCTGGGTGTGGCTCACGGTGCCCTGGTGAACATTCCCGAACACCTGGCGTGTGATGTCGGGGGACAGGGCCAGATCCGAGTCCTGGAAGGATGTGTCCTCTGAGATGCACAAGCTCCGGAAGGCCCGGTCGGTGAGGCTGCTCACTTCCCTGTCTGCATCGTCCAGCACGCTGCCGATACTGGAGGTGTCACTGAACCCATCTGTTCCCTTCTTATTCCCCTGCATGGTCTCAGCGGTGTCTCCGGTCAGCAAGTGGGTGTGGGTGCGGGTGCTTCTGGGTGGTGATTTCACTCTCTTCACACAAATTAGAGTTTCCTGTTGATCAGATGCAATTGCAAACTGGGATTTTATTTTATTTTTTCCCTCTGCAAAAGGAAGAGTGCAAGGTATAAACAGGATATTCAATTCAGCAGTCCCAAATAGGAGCTTATAGGCTGGTTCAGACTGGTACCTTGGTGCTTGTGATGGGTAATTTTGTGTCAACTTGGCTCAGCTAAGATGCCCAGTTTTTGGTGCAATGCCAGTCTAGAGGTCGTTATGATGGTATTCTTAAGATACATTAGTATTATAGTCAGTGAAGACTGAGGAAAGCAGATAACAAATCTCCAAATCTCAGAAGGCTGAGAAGAAGGAATTCAGCCTCTGACCTTTGGGCTGGAGCTGGGTTATCAGCTCCTCCCTGAGCTTTCTTTCAGTCTGTCCTGCAGACTGGCCAGTCCCTTAACATAATTTTTTTTTATTTTGGGAGGGGTCCAGGACGTGGTTTGGGGCCATACCTGGCAATGTTTAGGAGTTATTCTTGATTCGGTGCTCAGGAATCACTCCTGGCAGTGCTCATGACAATATGTAGGGTGCTGGGGATTCAAATCAGGGTTGACCTCATTTAAGGCAAGTGCCTTATCTCTTAAATTGTATCACTGGCCCCCAAATAAATATCTTGCTATAGATCTACATCTATTGGTTTCTTTCCACTAGAGAAGCTTGATCAATATTCAGACTTGTCTAGAGCTTGTCATGTTCTTGCAAGCTCTCCCAGAATATTTCCTGGGGTAAGCCAGGTTAAACCCTCAGAATGCCAGAGGGTTTTCTCTGTGGTCCTGAGCATGGTCTGCAATGGAGTTTACTTACTTTTTTGGTGTCTATCTTCTTGTTAGACTTGGGAGCTTGCTCTCTGATCATCCCAGGCCCACCCCAAGACGGCATAGTGCCCCAGAACCTGCATCTTTAAGTCTCTGGTTTGTCCTTGGGTGTGACCAATGGGTGGAGGTGTTTACTGGAGTCTGGAGGGTAGGATGGGAAAGCAGCTCTGGTATTTCTGCCTCTCCCTGTGCTTGGCTATGGTGTGGGCTCTGGGCACATCGTGGTCCCTGGTGTCTTACTCTTACTGGGCCAGAAATACTGTTCTTGCCTTTTAGACCATGGGAAGAGGACTCCCCTTCTCCCAAGAGTCTATAGGCCTGGGTTACTCTAACTCTAAAGCTGCCTTTGTTACATTTCTCTCTCTCTCTCTCTCTCTCTCTCCATATATATATATATGTACATATATATGTGTGTATATGACAAAAACTACAACAAAACAGTGAAATACACATGACATAACCTTTACTAGTTCTTGCCAATTTTCTCATGCACAGTTCTGAAACGTTACATATAATCATATTGTGGTGCAACCCTTACCACTGTTCATCTCCAGAACTCTTTCATCTTCCCAAACTGAAACTGTGCCACTGAGCCACTTCACATTTCCTCTTTCCTCAAGTTCTTGTAACCAGCTGACTAATGCTAGAAACTGCCTATGAATGCAGATATACAGTAATTGTCTTTCTGTAACTTGTTTATTCATGCAAATGGTGTCCTCATTATTCATCTTGGTTGTAATTTTTTTCTCAATTTAAAGGCCGAATAATTGTTTATTCTAGGGTTAGATCAATGTGGGTCTATAATAGTTTATTCTGAGTTTAGAATGCAGCGTAGGTGGCTTACACTTTTGTATTATCATTAATTATCTTGCTTTGACCAGCTTCAAGGAACTGTCTGAAATTTTGCTTTTAATTCTTTTGGAATATACCCAGAAATTAAATAGCTGGATCATGTGAAAATTATTATTTTTTGGCAAGGGGCACACATGGCGGTGCTCAGGGCTTACTCCTGGCCCTTTGCTCAGGGATCACTCTTGGCTGTGCTTGGGGGACCTCATGTGGTGTCAGGGATTGAACTGGGGTTAGCCACATGCAAGGAAAGTGCTTTAGCCCTGTATTATTTCTCTGGCCCATAATACTATTTTTAATATTTAGAGGAAACCCCACACTGAATCTATAGCCATTTTATTCGATCACATTCCTATCAATAGAATATTAGAACAAGAACTCCACATTCTTGTAGAAACTTACTGTTTATTCCCTTGGAGATTTCCAAAAGTTTTTACCCCTATTGATGATATTTGGATCTTTTCTGAGGATGCTGCTTTCTTCTGGACCCACCACAACTGAGGAACATAAATGAGTGCCTGGAAGGATAGACAATGGGATTTTCATTTCCAATCTCTTGAGCGTCGCACTCCAACTAGTTTCCAGTGAGTTTTTGATTCAGTAACAGGCAGGCTTATTTTATCTTTTTATTTATTTATTTTTTTGTGGGTGGTTTGGACCACATTTAATAGTTCTTGGGATTTACTCTGCATCTATGCTCAGGAATTGCTCCCAGAAGTGGTCGGAGACTCATACTTGGTGCCAGAAATTTGAACCCAAGTTGACCACATTCAAGGCAAGTACTTTAACTTCTGTATCTCTCTGGCCATTATTGGCAGTGCAGAATCCAAGGTCTCACACAAGAAAAGCAGTATCCTACTTTTGAGCCACATCTGAGTCCTGTTTGGCTAGCTTATTTTCATGAACAAAAGAACTAAGCTTGGACTTTTGTAGGAAGAAAAGGAGCCTCCTTCTAGCAAACTAAGGAAGGTATTAATGAGTAAAGCTGTATTTCTATAGTTCTTGACCCTCCCTTGGAAATCATAGTTGCTGCCTCCCCAGAAAACACCTACCTTTTGGATGGCCACAAGAAAAGGCAGAGAGTCAGCTTCAACCCTTCCGCCCAGCCTATCTCATTCCCTTCCTCAGCATCTTGCCTTCCCTGTTCTCCCAGCTGCCCACCAGAAGTCGTGAAAGCAGATATGCATGTCCTCAGAGTCACATTTGGGAGGCCATTACTACTCATTGGTGGGGAAGCATTGGGTGTTTGATAAGTTCTTTCCTCTCTCATCCAAGGAAAGATCCTGCCTGCACTCTGAGGCTGTCCTTTCTTCCTGCTGTGAACACAGACAGGAGCCTGAGTGTGCTTGATAGCCAGGGCTGCCCTAATTTGTTATCTCACAGTTCTGGAGGCTGCAAATTTCAAACCAAGGTGTTGGCAGGGCTGGTTATGTTCAAGGGTGGGCCTCTCTCTGGCTTGCAGCTGGCTGCCTTCTCCTTCTTCCTCTAAAATATACTTTATCCTGTGTTTCTATGCTCATATTTTCCCTCTTTTTAGGGACAACCTTCCTATTGAGTAGTGTCTGCCTTAAGGACCTTTTCTTAACTAATGACATCTGTAGTCTTTCAATATAAGCTCCCAGGCTGAGGTCCAGCAGACTAAAGGTTTAACAGATCAATGTGGGGGACATATAGTTACACTCATAACTCTAAGCTTCTTCCCTGCAACCCTAAGGAGCAAGTAACAGCTGGAAGCCAATCAACTCAGAATGGACAGGATGGGCCCAGATCCTAGATACTGTTGCTGAGCATGGATCCTGTGAGCAATGACCTTCTCTGGGATCTGGGTGATTGAGATGGGGGTGGGGCTTCCCTTAACAACAGTCAGTCAGGTTTCCTATATCTGAGGTCCACTCACCAATAAAATAAAATCTGGTACCCCGAATATAGAGGATTTTACTTTTGCTTAAATGGCAAGTTCTCAGTCCTATTGGGGTTCCTATAGTTCAATATCAATATAAAAATAGGGTAACTGAATACTAAATTTGGTCCTAGAGTTAAGGAAACAGTCTCCAGTCCTTTAAATATTCATGCTGATTAAAAGATATTTTATTTTTCAAACAAACAAAAACACCCTCTTAGTAAAGAAACAAACAGAAATGTTAAGTTTGGGGAAATTTACTTTCTCTATGTGATGGAGTTGAAGGTCAAGATGCAGAATGCAGATATGAGATCAGATCAGATCCATTGAACCCTTTTATCTGGAGTGATGGACGTGAAGATGGAAGCACCCCTGAGCATTCTTTCTAGAAGTGGTACCTTCTCACTTTCCCCTTTGCCTGGGCTTAGCCTTTACTTGAGTACACAAGAAATCCAATTTTATTTTGATCCATTTCTGCTTAATTTGTCCAGTTTCTGTTTTGAGTGGCAAAAAAACCCTACCCTTATCTTGGGTTTACCTTGTAATTCCAAATAGTAAAGGATAGTCATTGCTATTCAGAATATTCAAACAAATTAATACACAAACACCAAACAAAAATAAACAAAACCAATACATTCTCCTGCAAGAAAAAGAAAGACTTCATTTTGCTAGCTTGTTCTGATAATTTGTTAATGCCTAATTTTATTTACTTGGGTTCAAATAGGGCAGTCATGAACTTTGCTCCACTCCCAACCCTCTTCCTGCGACTCACTGGAATCTTTCAGCATAAGAGTTAGTGACTGATGGTATTAGTCTGTTGAGTCTGTTTCATACCTCTTACAGCAGCAGTGGGGACTGTAGGTTCCTGCTTCTCTGGGTTTTAGGATCTGTGGTTTTAAAGCTTATTTTCATGCTCACACTTTCTCTTATTTCTGCACATCTGGAAAGAAGAAGAGTACTTTTAGCAGCTGGTGAGAAAACAGAATGGTTGAGATATTTGCCTTGCATGCACTGACCTGGATCTGATCCTTAGCACTGCATACAGCTCCCTGAGGTCTTCCAGGGCTTGCTCTGAGCACAGAACCAGGAATAGCCCATGAGCACAACCAGATATGGCCCCACAAACTTCCCTACTTTAGCCACAAAATAAAAGAAAAAATACTTTCAGGGGAACCCAATGGATCCAAGGATTAAACACATGCTTAGTGCAAAGTCTGTCTTTAAATCTCAGAAATATAATTGGTATACAAAAAAATCTTTAATCCACACATGCTCAATAAGATTATAAACACAGGCTTTTTTTTTTTTTGCTTTTTGGGTCACACCCAGCGATGCTCAGGGGTTACTCCTGGCTCATGCACTCAGGAATTGCTCTTGGCGGTGCTCGGGGGACCATAGGGGGTGCTGGGAATCGAACCTGTGTCGGCCATGTTTGCTGTGTGCAAGGCAAATGCCCTATCAGCTGTGCTATCACTCCAGCCCCAACACAGGCATTTTTTTTTTGAAAAGGCTCAATTTATATTCTTTCCAATATTCATTAATTTATCTCTGGTCTAAGAAATAACAGGAGCCTATTTTAAACCATTGGGATTTCTAGAGTGGCCCATCTGTAAATTATTATTTATAAATCAAATCTGAACAAAGGCCCTTTTCCAGTGTGAATTAATAAGTCATACTTTGTACCAAGGAGAGCTGGAGTGCTGAATTTGAATCATTTCAGCAGGTCAGAGCAACATTGTTTGATTTATTATTGACAGATGACTTGACAATCTATTCAGACAGCTAAAATACCCAGAAACTTTTAAACATTTAAACTTTTCTGCTTAAAAGAAAAGTTTAAGAGTGCTCAGAATCAAGTATAAAAGTTAATAAAAATAGTTATTTACTGAACATAAGTCCACTACGCAAAATTTAAATGCAGATTACTGAAATTTCAGTATCCATATCCAAAAGGATTTCAGACATTCTTAGTTTGCAACTCCTCCATATCAATCTAGCGTATGGAAGTTCATTAGGAATCACTCCTATTTATGGTGTACTTGTTTTTGGGAGCCCTTTGAGACACTTTGTGTCCACAACATCCCGTGCCTGTCTGACTCTCAGGTTGTCCTCAAGTCCCCTTGGCAATATTGGGTTTTCCTTTTCCATACTTTGTGCTGGGTCATGATCAATCATGTATTACAATTCAGCTGTCTTAGGAATTGATAATTGATTCTTTCTCAACTTGAAAGAGAATTGTTTGAGCGTAGGGAGGGAATCTTATTTGATTTCATATACTGAGAATACCAACATAAAAAGCAAAGGCGTCAACCTGCGTCTTTTTTTTTAGATGGGGGTTGTTGCAATAGAATTTCCTCTTTCTTGTGATTTCTTTTTTATACCTTGGAGTGCCCTAAAAAACCAACCAACAAGTCAACGAGCAGACAAAAACTTCACAAAGATGTATTGCCACTAATATGTATTTGCTTCCTTTGGCGGCAGACACAAGTTGCCTTTGAAAATGCAAATTATCACATAAGGGGAACAGGGTCCCCTGGCAGGAAATCATGGATTTGACTGTCCAGTTTCCATCATATCGGAGATTTTCACATGCTTGGAACACACGGGGGACATGTTTGTGCCCTGTAGCCTGGGGCTAGGAGAATGAACCCAAGGGGGGGTGGTATTTTTTAAAAATCTATTTTTATTTATTTTGGGCCACACTGAGGCCTATAAAACTTGGAAAACTATGTGGTTCTTGGTGTCAAACCCAGACTTCCCATATGTGAAACACTTGCTCCAGCCCATTAAACTATCACCCAGGCATGCGTTTTGTTGTCTCATCATCTGAATCAGCTTTTTGAGTGAGAATCTACCACACCAACCTGGACATGGAGCCCAGGGCCCTATTCACAGAAGGCCTATGCTCTACACTGAAGTCACAACCCTGTCTGTCCTATATTTTGAATGGACTCACTCAGAAAAGCTGAATGTGCAAAGCTTTACCCCTACCTCCTTCCCTGACTGACAGCCAGCCCAGTCCTGAAAGGTCCTGCAGCTCAGCTTCTGCTGGTCAGCTTCAAACTGGAGGGACAAGAAGTGACCGGGGTGGGGCCTCCTCCACACCAACCAAATCTGAATCAGCATCTTTAGAAATTAACATTTTCCTCATGATAAGTGAGCAAAACCCCTTTGCATAGTTCATCACTAAATTCTTACTCCTTCAAATATTTTCTCACAGGACACTTTGGTTCATATGATGCTACATGATGCTGTTGAACTATGGACCAGAACTGCTGCCTGTTGCAGATACACATTTTTTTCTCTATTTCCCCAGCCTTCTGATGTACTTCTTCAGGATGCTGAAGGCCCTCTCTGTGGGGGAGTTGGAGTCACCTCCTCTGGATCAGAGCTGCAGATTCTGGTGGCTCCTGGCTTGGGTCCTTGGAGTGGAAGCCCTTCCAGAATGTTTCTGTGTTCCATGGCTATTTTCTCCTGTTCTCTTATTCATTGTAGAATAAAGGAAAGTAATTTGCCCCATTTTTTAAAATTTATTTTTATTTTTTAATTTTATTTATTTATTCATTTTTTAATTTTTATTAGTGAGACACCATGAGGTGCAGTTGTAGACTTACAAATTTTGTGCTTGGGTTTCAATTATACAGTGATCAAATACCCATCCCTCCACCAGTGCCCATTTCCCTCCACCACGGATCCCAGTATCCCTCCCACCCTCCATCCCCCCCATCCCACCCTGCTTCTGTGGCAGAATTTACCTAGTTTTGCACATGTTATCTGCTGCCAATTTGTCCATCTAGCAAGATATTCTACTCCATGCTGTGAGGTCCCAGGCCCGGCTCGCCTGTGACTCACAAGAGGCCGAGGTCACCTGTCATTGTTTTCAGCTGCTGCTGAGTAGGCTTCTTGGGCTACAAGGATGTGATGACAGAGGTTTGCCTGAGTGTGTGGCGCACAGATGAAGGGCTAAAAGCTCTGCTGTCCCTTATCCTTCTTGTCTCCCTCAGGGCTCCTGGCTGACAGCCAGCCCAGTCCTGAGAGGTCCTGCAGCTTAGCTTCTGCTGGTCAGCTTCAGGCTGGAGGGACAAGAAGTGGCCAGGGTGGGGCCTCCTGCACTTGTTCCCTCACAGGCCTAGTCCCTGATTTCTCTCTGCTTACAACAGTATGAGATATTCACAGAACCTGCATATCCGTGGGGGCCCTTGGAGGCCTCAGCTCTGTCACCATCATTATCCACGAGGCAGTATACTCCTGCTTCCTTCCTTCCTTCCTTCCTTCCTTCCTTCCTTCCTTCCTTCCTTCCTTCCTTCCTTCCTTCCTTCCTTTTTTCTTTTCTTTTTTTCTTTTTTTTTGCTTTTTGGGTTACACTGGCAATGCACAAGGTTACTCTTGGCTCATGCACTCAGGAATTACTCCTGGCAGTGCTCAGGGGACCACATGGGATGCTGGGAATCGAACCCGGGTTGGCCGTATGCAAAGCAAGTGCCCTACCTGCTCCAGCCTCAACCTGCTTCATTTCTGAGGTGCAGTCAACTTCCTTGTATGTAGACAACAAGTGAGAGAGCTGGGATAGGACCCTGATCTGGGGTCCCAGAATCTGGACACAGGGAAGGAGGTAGGGGTAGCAGCTTTGCCTATTCAGCTTTCCAGAGTGAGTCCATTCAAAATATAGGACAGACTGGGTTGTGGCTTCAGTGACAGAGCATAGGCCTTCTGTGAATAGGGCCCTGGGCTCCAGGTCCAGGACCAGGCTTCCCTTGAGCACCACTGGGTGTGGCCCTGCCCACCAAAGCATTAGCAGCAGCAATAATAGCAGCAAATATAGTCTGTGGAATTCAAATTCCAAAGAACAATAATTTTTTTTGTTGGCTGGAGTGATAGCACAGCGGGTAGGGCGTTCGCCTTACAAGCGGCCAACATGGCCGACCCGAGTTCGATTCCTCCGCCCCTCTTGGAGAGCCCGGCAAGCTACCGAGAGTATTCGATATGCCAGACACAGTAACAACAAAGTCTCCAATGGAGACGTTACTGGGCCCGCTCGAGCAAATCGACGATCAACGGGAGGGCCTTTACCTTTACCTTTTGTTTTTAGTGTAAGTACGTCCCATGCAGTTTTTGGGATACACTTCGCATTAGAATTTTCTATAAGATTAACCATAATGTGCTTATACTAGAAAGAAGTATTCACTGTTTACCTGGAATGCATTCAGTGCCCTGGTTTTGTGTTTCGTTTTTTCTGATTTTTGGTTTTACTTGGAAACTTAAAGATGTTACTAACATTTAGGATCCCAAGTGGATTCCAACCAGAGGAAGTCTGTACGAGGAGAATCCCAGACCCTATCCTCCTGAGTTCATGATACACTACAGCATCTACTGCCCTGTTTGATCCTCTGAGGTTACCTCTGAGGTAGAGGAAGTCGACCCAGAGGGGTGCAGAATGTCACATAGCATGATAAAAAGCAAAGTGGGAGTGCTGGGATTCTGTTCACTTGATCATCCTGTGTTTTGCAGGAGGAAACCCTGACAGGTTCTCGGGTACTCTAGATGGGTATGTCCGGGGCACATGGACTGGGGCTCAAGGGAGACTTGAAGGCTGAGAAGAACAGAAGAGAGCTCATTTCATTCACACCCTGATCATCTTTCAGCTCAGCTTCTTGTGACAAGCCCAGGCATGGAGCTGCCAACGCAGCTGGCAAGCATGGGGTCCCTTCTGTTTGGGGGCACAGCCATGGAGGGAGGAGCAGAGGACCTTGCAGAGGCAGAAGGCATGTTCCCTGGCCAGAGATCTCTCCTGAGCTGCTAACGAGGCAGTTTCATCTTCCCTCATCCCTTCCCCTCTTTGCACAGGAAGCCATTGGGTTTGCTTTGCTGCTGGACCTGACCACTTGCCTGTGTGTGGTTTTTGAGCCCAAGCTGTTTGGGTGGATTTAATTACCTTAATTG